GTAAAAATGCTACCTACAATTTATTAAGCTTACAAATAAGATTCATAAGTTTAATTAACTTCTCAGTGAGTGCCAGAAGGTAGTCAGAATATTACTTATCTACTACAGCTTACCACTGTTCACCAATACTACTCGGTGAGAATACAGAGACACAACTCAAGTAGCTTAAGGTAAATAGAAATTCAGGGATTATAAGAAAAATACCATAATAAAATGTAGCTTAATCTTATCTCAAGTGATTATAAGTAACATCTTCATCTGCGAACTGATGATTCATGGTAGTCATTGTTATTCAATCATCCAATGAAGCTTGAGACCTCTCTTTCCTTTTGTGACAGCAAGTTGGGCTACCCAGGGAGATGTTTCTTCAATATCTTCCATATTTATGTAGCGTTCTGCTACTGGTTGTATTAAAGGCAGCTCAATACAAAAAATTCACTATTTTTATGGCAATTTGGCCAACAACCTGAAGTCGCTGATCTGGAGGATTACGAAAGTGGCCCAAAGAGAAAGAGTTGCAAAAATTCCCGTTTATGTTTCATCGAAATCCTTAGGATGTTTAATATAGGAAAAATCTAACCTTGGAATTGTCAAAGAGAGCATATACTCTCTGTCCTGATGTCTTTGGAAGTAAACAAAAACCAAAGAAAAAAATAGTGTCTTGAATTTATTTAATACATGGTTGCCACCTAATCAAAATCACTTAAGAGTCATTGGTTTGGTTAGTGGCTTCATGCCACACGTAGGGGTGGGAAGAATTTAATCTTTGTCCAACTAATTAGTTAATTAGGTAATGTCCCGTTATCTGATAATTAATTACGTAATTAAAAATTATCTTAAATTACTTAAAATTCTACTTATTTTTAATACACTTTATATAACTTACTATCATGGTCAGGTGGTACCATATAAAATAAATATCATTGTTTTAAAAGGCTTTTTTGGGACTCGCCTCAGGGCACGCCCCGGGGCGGGGCACTATCAACACGCCTTGAGAGTCATGTGTGGGGCTTAGTTCTTTGAGGCTTACACCCCCAAGCGTCCGACGGTGCGCCCTAAACACGCCTAGCGCCCAACGCTCGGGACTCGCCCAATAGTTCTTATGCAAATTATGTGTTGAATTCACTAATTTGCACTGTTAACTATCAAAATTCTTTAACAAATGAATGGCTAAAGTTCTTTTTATCTATACAAATATAAAAATTGTGAATAATTCAAATAACGAAATATATTATTGCATAATTACTAATTGAGAACATCGTGAGGGTGAATATCATTTGAATATTTCTTCTAAAAATAGATAACCAAAATTTATATTGATCTTCATGTCTTAGTATGTCTCTCAAAATTATCATAATTTTTTTATTTTAGTATTTAAAAATAATTTTATATTGACTCATGAATGAGTAATATTTTAAATTATAGTTGTTAAAAAACTTATTGTGTATTTACTTTTAAAGAGGTAAAATATGCAGTTTGATAATATTTTTTAAGAAATTATAATTTTTAATTGTTTGAAAGTTAAGAGGTTGGAGTTAATTTATATTTCATAGTAACTTTAACAGTATTGTATTATTTATACTTATAAAACATGCTAAATATTTTATTTTATATGAGTTTCTTTAATTCTTTTTAGTTTTCTTAAATTTTTAATGCATCTCTTTATATTTTATTGTGTTATAATGCTATATTATTTATTCATAAATTTAAAAAATTAAAGATCCGTGAGGCTTACGCCCTATGTCTCGAGGCTTTTGCCTCGCCCCGTATTAAGTAAAACACCCCGCCTCACGCCCTCGCCTTTAAAAACACTGATAAATATATACAGTATTATTTCAGTAAAATATCCATGTAAAAATACATATATTTTCTCAACTTATAATTTTCCTAATCTCATATAAAGAGCAAAAATTTTCATACGTTTAATTCTTAAAATGGTAAAAAGATAACCTTCTTTTCTTGCGAAAAAAAATTAATTTATATCTTTACAATAAAGAAAATCTCATAAACTTTCTTATATTATGTGTATAATTGAAAGTAGTAATATTTATAACTATCTAAAATTATATATTTTTTTTCAAACTACTTTACAAATATATTCCACTCAAATTACCATATATAACGGTATCAAGGTTGTTAAACTTACGGGGTGTAACAGTCACTTGCAAGATTCACACACTTGAGAGAAAGTTTGATCAATTATAGAATGTGCAAGTGCAATGTTTTGCCTTTGCTTCAATGTTAATATTACATAGGTGACATCACTTGAATGATGCAAGCATGTTTGGTACAAGGGCATTCCCCATAAAGTTGACTGCTGCACAGTTTGTGTGTGCAGGCAGCAACTTTACAGCTGTGGGGGGTTGACTAGTACAGTCAGTAAAGGAACTGGTGTCCATCTGTTTAGGGGTGTTCGTCGGTCGGTACGGTACGGTATTTAGACATTTCTGTTCGATATTCAGTTTCAGTTTCTTAAAATCCTATACCAATACCGTACCTAATTAAATTCGGTATGGTTCAATTTTTCTCCTTTCGGTTTCGCTTTATTCAGTTCGGTAACTCCGGTTTATTCGGTTTGAATACTAACTAGTGCATAGAGCCATAGACTCTAATATTCTTAATTAAAGTACTCAAAAATACAAAATTGAAAAATGTTTGTTGATAAATTTTTTGTCCAAAACTAGCAAATATCGACCCAAATAGAGAAAATTGTACATAAAAGAATATTTGATCATTAGAAATGTCTTGTTACTTGTTTAGAGTTAATTGATGAACTTAGAGAATAAAGGAAAGTGAAATTTCAGATTTTTTATATTTATGTTATAATTGATAATATATATTTCGGTACGGTATCGGTATTTCGATATTTTATTTTAAAATATCAAACACCATACCTAATACCAATTTTTTTTTAAAACTTAAACCAAATACCAAAATTTTCGATTTCAGTATAGTAATTCGGTATTTACCAAATTATGCATAGCCCTACATCTGTTCCCTCTGTTGTTTCTTTGACTATGAAAAGTTGAACCACGTCCCTGGCTTGAAACTTGTTGTTCTTGAGTACTTGAGGATATATGATAGGTTCCTTATCTGATTTTTTATCATTAAATTTGTTAGATCATCAAAATATAACAATGATGCATATAACCTATCATAGTATTTTAAAAAAATTAAACATTGAATATATTTAGTACTTCAACTTTCAACTGATCGAGCATCACTCGGAGCTCTCTTTACATTTTTCAACAACCTTGTTGAATATTACAAATTATGGATCCTTTTGTTGACTGATTAGAAACCTCATTACCTAGTCGGCAGTCGCATCAAACGTGTCACGTGCTACTACGTTGGCCATTCATATACTAACAAGTTATAAATGTCTGTCTAAATATACCCAGAATCCTCTTTAAATCAATATAACTTTCAACAAATTTCAGCTTCATAGCATAGAAAAGATAACATTATCCTTGAGAGATCAAAGATAGTTGCTTTAAACCAACAAATTTCAACGACCGAAGGGCACCCCAAATTCAAGCTAGATTATTCGTGTGTTTCTCGTAACTACGAAAGGTGTTACTCCCACTATTTGTTTGAGGCATCTTTGCTTTATAAAATACAGACAACTTGAACAGAGGCGGACCTACACTAGGCTTTGAGGGGTCACGTGAACCCGTTAACCTCGGCAAAAACTCTGTATATATATTGTATGTAGTATATACTTTAGGGACCCATTAAATATTTTTCTTGGCCCCTTTAAAAATGAAATGCTGCTTGGAGCAATGGTCCGCCTGTCTTCAATATTTACCTTCCTTTTGCTACAAAGGACTGGGGTTCGAAACCCCTTTCCACAAATATTTCTTTTTAGTTTCTTTCACTTTTTATAACTGGAATAATCAATTTTATTAGTACAATAATACTATTTATTAGTCACTAATCAACAGTTGACTAATTTATAATTTTTTATTTAACCTTTTCTCAATTTTATTGTATTTTAATAGTTATAGATAATAGTCAATTTTATTATTTAGTTCTTCTACAAAAGCCCCAAAATATTAAATCCCTAAACCAGTAAACCTTTCCTAGTTCTTCCTCGCTCAAATGCAGAACTCCCCTCAGCCATCACTCCTCACTCCAACTCAATCTCAATTCCTCTCATTACTTTGAAAAAGTAGCGGGCATCGAATCTCTGGTCAGTGCTTCTTGTAAGAGCATGGAGAATTTGGGATGGATTTTACTAGATCCTATGCGTGCTTTAGATGGAGTTTCTTTCTCCCAGATTCTTATATTCTTGTTTTCTTATTTACTTTCTCCATAAAAAAAAAAAAAAGTAAAGGATTAGCGCTAATAAATAGTAATACTTGTGTTTCAATCTGATTTTTGAGCTTAGTCCTTCTGGGCATTGTTTGATGGTAACCCATTTTCATATCTTGTGGACTTAGCTTATAGAAAGGGATTAATGGGAAAATGGAATTACTTATATATTTATTCATTCAGTTTTTCTGCTAAACCTGTAACTATTTGCTGAAAATACTGAGAGTGCTTAGCCCTTTCTGTATATCTACCTATGATTTTATTTAGGTTTGAAATTTTTGGTTCAAGAATCCCCAAAATTTAGGTTTGCCACTGGTAATTAAATCAAATTTTCTCTTGTTGTGTTTTCTGCTTTGACCCTTTTTGCATTTCATGAATTTCTATTCTTGATAGACTATTAAATTTATTGAACTCATTTTTTGTAGGAAGCTCTTGTTCTTGTGAATTGAGATGAATGTATTTTGACGAAGTTTAATTCTTCTCAACCAAGTTTTAGTCTTAGAAACAATTCCTCTCATTTTATCGATGAGTTTGATGAGAAATTACTCAATCCCAACCCTAGTGAGAGAGTACCCATTAATAAATATAGTCTTAGAATACGGGATGACGTAAGAAGACACTACATTCAAAATGGACCTTGCCAACCGGTTGATCATAAATTTCCTAAAACTTTATTCGGGAATAAAATGCGTCAATTTAGTTTGGGTTGGTTTAAAGGTTCGTATTCTAGATGGTTGGAGTATAGTGTGAAGAAAGATGCCGCATTTTGTTTATGTTGTTATTTATTCAAAAATGATTATGTTCATGGAAGCACGGGTGACTCTTTCACAAAAACGGGCTTTAAGGCTTGGAATAAAGCTTCGGAAAGACTTGATTTACATGTTGGTAAAGTAAATAGCCTCCACCACAAGTGTTTCAACAAGATGCTAGACTTATCAAATCAATCCCAATCAATTCAAGTTGCTTTTGATAAGCAATCCGAGAAACAAAGAAATGAACACCGAATTCGTTTAAATGCATCAATCGATGTTGTAAGGTTTCTCTTGTATTTTGGATTGTCTTTTCGAGGTCATGATGAAAGTGATTCTTCAAAAAACAAAGGCCTTTTTCTAGGGCTTTTGGAATGGCTTGCAAAAAGGCTCCCTGAAGTAGATAGAGTCATATTGAAACATGCACCAAAAAATGATATGATGACTTCGCCAAAAATTCAAAAGGACATTGTGAGTGCTTGTGCTCAAGAAACCGTGAAAGCTATAATCAATGATTTGGATGGAGATTATTTCGGGATATTAGTTGACGAATCCAAGGATATTTCACAGCATGAACAAATGGCCCTTGTTTTGCGGTATGTTGACAAAAAAGGCCAAGTGAACGAGCCATTTATTGGTCTTGTTCGTGTTCATGATACCTCTGCAAAGTCGTTGAAGGAAGCAATACTTTCTTTGCTTATGAAACACTCATTAAGTCCATCCAAAATACGTGGACAAGGTTATGATGGAGCTAGTAATATGCAAAGAAAAATGAATGGTCTTAAAGCTTTAATTTGCAAGAAACTCCTTCGGCACATTGCATTCATTGTTTCGCTCATCAATTACAGTTGACGCTTGTAGTGGTTGCTAAAAAACATAAGGAGGTGGAAACTTTCTTTGCTATTGCTGCTAATGTGTTGAATGTGATTGGAGCACCCTTTAAATGTAGAGATCAACTTCGGGATCATCATGCCGAATTATTGGTTCAATTGCTAGAGAGTGGTGAAGTTCAAAGTGGGAAAGGATTAAATCAAGAGCGAGGGCTTCAAAGGCCAGGTGACACTCGTTGGGGATCACATTGTAAAACATTAGATAATTTTGTTGTTTTATTTGCATCTATTGTTCATGTGCTTGGGGTGATTGAATATGAGGGTCAAGAGGCTAATGATAGATTGCAAGCAGAAGCTTTTTTGAGTAAAATCAATTCATTTGAATTTGTGTTCTTGCTTCACTTGATGTTGAAGGTATTGTTGATGTCGAACGAGCTGAGTAAAGCTTTACAGAAGAAAGAGCAAGATATTGTTAATGCCATGATATTTCTTGACCTTACAAAGGAAAGGTTGCAAGAAATGAGAGATGAAGGATGGAAATCATTAATGGATGAATTATATTTGTTTTGTACTAAACATGACATTTTGGTGCCTAATATGGAAGAATTCTATATTCCTGGAAAGTCAAAGTGTAGGCCTTCAAGTGTTACTTATTCACATCACCTACGTGTTGAGCTTTTTTATACAGTGATTGATTTGCAACTTCAGGAGCTTAACCGTCGTTTTGATGTTGTTAGTAGTAACTTGCTTCTTGGTATGGCTAGCTTGAATCCGGCTAACTCGTTTGCTAACTTTGACAAAGAAAGAATAATGACCTTGGCCAAGTATTATCCAGATGAGTTTGGCGAATTGAAGCTTCGAGATCTTAGTCACCAACTTGACACTTTCATATTGCACATGCAACATGGTGACCCTAGATTCTCAAATTTGAAAGGAATTAGTGATTTGGCAAAAGCGTTGGTTGAGGCAAATCTTGTGGAGATATATTCACTTGTTTATTTACTTGTGAAATTGACTCTAATTTTACCTGTCGCGACTGCAACGGTAGAAAGAGCATTCTCATCCATGAAGTACATCAAAGATGAATTGCGTAGTAGTATTGGTGATGCATTTTTAAATGATTGTTTAGTTTGTTACTTTGAAAAAGAAGTATTTACAAATGTAAGCAATGATGCTATTATTGACCGTTTTCAGAGTATGAAAACGTGTCGAGTTCAAGTATAAGTGGATGATGTACTTTTGTTGTATTAATATCAATTAAAGATATTCTATAACATTGAAGTTTTTCTTTTGATGTAAATTGTGTCTTCTTTAGTTCTCATTTTTGGATAACAGTAGATATTACTATTAGTATGTCAAGAATTGCGATTAAGGCCATTACACTTATTTTATATTTTAAAGTTTATTCCAGTTTAGTCTATGTGTGTGCAAGGATGTGCAAAAAGTTGTTTATTTTCTTGGAATGCTTATTTTTTTTAAAAATTCGCAGATCAATTGGAGAATCTGATGAAATCGAAGTTTGTGTTCGCGGGTCAATTGGGGAGTATGATGAAATCAAAGCGTAAGCTCTTCTTACTTTATTTTAGTTTTTTGCTTAGCAAGTTTATATTATATAGTGGATTGTGCTGCTTATTTATTGGTCTATCATAGAGTTTATATGTATTTTTTTATTAGCTTTGGGTAATTCACTCTAATGACAATGGTGCTCCCGTTATACTCAAATCCTGGGTCCGCCTCTGAACTTGAAGGTTGTTTTCAAGGAAGTCTACGTCAGTTTCAATACATAATCTTCATAGGAATTAGAAAAGATTATCCGAAGTCTTGTCATTGTTGTTGCAATCCGAAACTTAAATAGTGCCCTTTTGGCCAAAAAATACCTTTCTGCTATTAAAAAAATTACATAAGTACATAAAACACAATATAATACTGCGTTTTACTTTAACGGAAAGTTAGCCGTTAAAGTTAAATGCAGCACTATACTGCAATTTATTAAAAAAATAAATTTTTTAAGGAAAACGCAGTATAATACTGTGTTTCCCTTAAACGCAGTATTGTACTGCATTTTCCTATTAAAATTGGACCCACCTTATAACTCTGCCATAAATGCCTATATTTAATTAAAGGAAAGCACAGTACAATACTGCATTTAAGGTAAACGCAGTATTGTACTGCGTTTTCCTTTAATAAAATATAGGGCCCCTTCTTCTTCCCCAAGA